CTCAGTCATTTGAGATTTCTCTGCTGTGAGTTCTCTGTTTAGTTCTATACCCTGTTTTTTGATTGGGTTGTTTTGTCTTTTGGAGGTTAGCCTCTTGAGTTCTTTATATATTTTACATATTATTTCTGTGTTGGATGTGAAGATAATGAAGATTTTTTCCCAATCTGTGACACTTATTCTTCTTAGAGGATGAAATCCCTATAAATACATACACATACAATACAATAAAAATAAGTGCTAAAATATATTTTTTTGTTCACAGAAGTAATTAGCACAAGTTCGATTTTGAGTTTCATCACACCAACAGCTATAACCATTCCAGATGCTTATCTTGTGAGATCTGCTGCCTTTGGACATTCTCTTGCAGCAAAAAAGCTTAGATGCTTGACTTTAATCTTCTGAGAAAATAATTTTATGACTGAGGAAGCCACTGACAGACAGAATGACAACTTTGCCCCCACATTGTTCAGATACTTCTTGTCACCTGTCTGATGGGTAGGCATCTCTGATGATTGGAAACACAAACCATGGCCCAGAGTGAAGATTTTTTAGGAGAAGAGGCCCAGTTTGTATCCTGGTATCCTCCCTGGTCCTGAGACACTAAACCTCTTAAGGCTCATAAGCATTAGCTACTTTTGGTTATTTTCCTCTTTACTCTTGATGTAGTGAGCAGCTTGCACTGTTCGAGAGAGCATGAGGTGATGTTGTTCAATGATTGACTTTCACCTGAGTGGAGTCAAGATCATATTTCTCCTAATTAAAACGAAATGACATGCAATATATGAAAAATTAACAAGCATTCCCAACCTAAAAGGCCAGTAAATATCTTCAACAAAGTTATAGAAGAAAACTTTCCTAACCTAAAGAAAGAGATGCCCGTGAACATACAAGAAAGCTACAGGACTCCAAATAGACTGGCCCAGAAAAGAAATTCCTCTCATTATATACCAATCAAAGCACCAAATGCACAAAACAAAGAAAGAATATTAAAGCAGTAAGGGGAAAAGGTCAAGTAGCATATAAAGACAGACCTATCATAATTACAACAGACTTCTCACCAGAGACTGTGAAAGCTAGAATATCCTGGGCAGATGTCCTACAGACACTAACAGAACAAAAATGCCAGCCCAGGCTACTATACCCAGCAAAACTCTCAATTACCATAGATGGAGAAACCAAGATATTCCATGACAAAACTAAATTTACACAATAGCCTCTCACAAATCCAGCTCTACAAAGGATAATAGATAGAAAACTCCAACACTCCATACACTAGCAGCTTGACAGCATATCTGAACTCTCTAGAACAAAATGAGGCAAATAAGCCCAAGAGAAGTAGGCAATAGGAAATAATCAAACACAGGACAGAAATCAACCAAGTAGAAACAAAAAGAGCTATGCAAAGAAGAAAACCAGGAGCTGGTTCTTTGAGAAAATTAACAAGATAGATAAACCCTTAGCCAGACCAACCAGAGGACATAGACAAAGTATCGAAATTAATAATATCATAACTGAAAAGGGAGACATATCAGCAGAAACAGAAGAAATGCAAAAGATCATCAGATCCTACTACAAAAGCCTATACTCAACAAAACTGGAAAATCTGGATGAAATGGACAATTTTCTAGACAGATATCAGGTATCAAAGTTAAATCAGGATCAGATAAACCTTCTAAACTGTCCCATAACCCCTAAAGAAATAGCCTCAGTCATTAAAAGTCTCCCAACTAAAAACAGCCCAGGAACAGATGGTTTTAGTTCAGAATTCTACCAGACTTTCCAAGGAGACCCAATACCAACACACTTCAAACAATTCCACAAAATAGAACCAGAAGGAAGACTACTTAATTTCTTCTATGAAGCCACAATCACGCTTATGCTGAAAGCACACAAAGACACAACAAAGAAACAGTATTTCAGACCAATTTCCCTTATGAATACTGATGCAAAAATACCCAATAAAATTCTCATGAAATCGAATCCAAGAACACATCAAAACAATCATCCATCATGATCAAGTATGCTTGATCCCAGGAATGCAGGGATGGTTCAGTATATGTAAATCCATCAACGTAATCCACTATATAAACAAACTAAAAAAAACCCACATGATCATCTCACTAGAAAGCATGCCTCAAAATTCAACACCCCTCCATGTTAAAAGTCTTAGAATGATCAGGAATTCTAGGCCCATACCTAAACATAGTAAAAGCAATATACAGCAAACCAGTATTCAACATCAAACTAAATGGAGAGAAATTTGAAGCAATTCCACCAAAATCACAGAGTAGACAGGGCTGCCCACTCTCTCCCTACCTATTCAATACAATATTCAAAGTCCCAGCCAGTGCAATTAGACAACAAAAGGAGGACAAAGCAAAACAAATTGGAAAGGAAGAAGTTACTATATCACCATTTTCAGATGGTATGATAGTATATGTAAGTGAACTAAAAAATTCCACCTGGGAACTCGTAAACCTCAGCAACGTGGCGGGATATAAGATTAACTCAAAGAAATCAGTAGCCCTCCTCTTCTCAAATGATAAACAGGCTGAGAAAGAAATTAGGGAAATGACACCCTTCACAAGAATCACAAATAATAATAATGGAAAACTATTTTCAACAATAAAATAACTTCTCCGGGAGTCACCATCCCTGACCTCAAGCTGTATTACAGAGAAATAGTGATAAATGGTGTATGATATTGGTAAAGAGACAGGCAGGAAGATCAATGGAATAGAATTGAAGACCCAAAAATGAACCCACACACCTATGGTCACTTGATCTTTGACAAAGGAGCTGAAACCATCCAGTGGAAAAAAAGACAGCATTTTCAACAAATGGTGCTGGCTCAACTGGCAATCAGTATGTAAAAGAATGCAAATCAAACCTTTCTTATCTCCTTGTACAAATTTCAAGTCCTAGTGGATTGAGGACCTCCACATAAAACCAGATAAACTGAATCTAATATAAGAGAAAGTGAGGAAGAGCCTTGAACACACGGGTGCAGGGAAAATTTCCTGAAGAGAACACCAATGGCTTATGCACTAAGATCAACAATAGACAAATGGGATTGGACCTCATAAAATTGAAAAGTTTCTGTAAGGCAAGGGGCACTGTCAATAGGACAAAATGGCAATCAACAGATTGGGAAAAGATCTTTACTAATCCTACATCCAATAGATCCCTAATATCCAATATATAGAGAGAACTCAAGGAGTTAGACTCCAGAGAATCAAATAACCATATTAAATATGGGTTACAGAGCTAAACAGAGAATTCTCAATTGAGGAATATTGAATGACCAAGAAGCACCTAAAGATATGTTCAACATACTTAGTCATCAGGGAAATGCAAATCAAAACAACCCTGAGATTCCACCTCACACCTGTCAGAATGGCTAAGATCAAAAATTCAGGTGAAAGCAAATGCTGGTGAGAACATAGAGAAAGAGGAACACTCCTCCATTGTTGGTGGAATTGCAAGCTGTTAACAATGACTCTGGAAATCAGTCTGGTGATTCTTCATATATCTAGACATAGTATTTCTTACCTGAGGACCCAGCCATACCACTCCTGGGCATACACCCAAAAGATGCTCCAACATGTAACACGAACCTATGCTCCACTATGTTCATAGCAGCCTTATTTATAATTGCTAGATGCTGGAAAGAACCCAGATGTCCTTCAACAGAGGGATGGATACAGAAAATGTGGTACATTTACACAATGGAGTACTACTCAGCTATTAAAAACAATGACTTCGTGCAATTCTTAGGCAAAGGGATGGAACTAGAAAATATCATCCTAAGTGAGGTTACCGAATCACAAATGAACACACATGGTATGCACTCACTGATAAGTGGATATTAGTCCAAAAGCTCGGAATACTCAAGATACAATTCACAGACCACATGAAGCTCAAGAAGAAGGAAGACCAAAGTGTGGGTGCTTCTGTCTTTCTTAGAAGGGGGGACAAAATATTCCTGGGAGCAAATATGGAGACAAAGTGTGGAGCAGAGACTGAAGTAAAGGCCATCCAGAGACTGCCCCAACTGGGGATCCATCCCATATTGTCATCAAACCCAGACACTATTGAGGATGCCAAGAGTGTATGCTGACAAGGGCCTGATATAGTTGCCTCTGGAGAGGCTTTGCCAGAGTTTGCCAAGTACAGAATCAGATGCTCACAGCCAACCATTAGACTGAAAATGGGGTCCCCAATGGAGGAGTTAGACAAAGGATTGAAGGAGCTGAAGGGGTTTGTAACCCTTTAGGAAGTACAACAATACCAACCAACCAGACCCTCAGAGTTCTTAGGGACTAAACCACCAATCAAGGAGTACATATGGAGATACCCATGACTCCAGCCCCATATGTAGTAGAGGATGGCCTTGTTAGGCATCAATGGGAGAAGAGGCCCTTGGTCCTTTGAGGCCTTGTTCCCATTGTAGAGGAATTCGAGGGTGAAGAGGCGGGAGTAGGAACACCCTCATAGAATCAGGGGGAGAGGATGGCATAGGGGGCTTTGGGGGGACAAGGAAAGGGTATAATATTTGAAATGTAAATATAGAAAATATCCAATAAAAAGAAAACATTTATTCATTAAAATAAATTCTTATTTGTTCAGATGGAGAAATATAGAGAGGGATTCTGTTCATATTTGAGGCTTAAAGTTTTAAGTTAAAAGGAATAGAGAGTAACAGTTTGATCAAGACCTTAGAGAAAATGGCTTTCATCTGTTTTAGACCATCCTGCAGCAGTGTGCAATTATATACAAGAGAACAGAGGGGGGTGAATAACTCACTTACTGTGTCAGTCAGATTCCAACCAGAAATTTTTCAAACCAACAGATGATTATAACCTCACTCTTTTAAAATTACGGCAGTGAACACCATACCTTGTTCATAGAAAATGTTGAACATATGTTTATGGAATAAAGTATTAAATGACATTAGAAAAGCTGTCTTCTGTTTTTGGCATTTTTAGTGACTATGACTTTCAACAGCTGAGAAGCACAGAACAAGGATCCTTAGGATCTCTGAAGATCAACAATAAGGGAGAAATTGTGGGGAAACCTGCAACGAAGACTTCACCGACATGCCTCATAAAGAGACGAGAATCTATTAAAAAATTTTGAAAGATGATACAAATAAAATTTAGAAGATAAAAGCTAACAAATGTGACCACCAGCATCAGGATAGTATGGGTTGCTCTGGTCTCAGGTTGCCCTCTGGGGTTCTGATTGGGGGTGAGGATGTGCTGCATTCGCTGGCGATGTCTATGGAGGAGAAGTACCATGGAGACACTGGTCCAGACCATGATGCTCATGAATGTGGCATCATGGGCAAACCGCAAGAAGACAATGCCTACACTGAATCCAGAATTGGAACAGAAAAGCTTGTTTTTAGAGTCAGAGTTATTATCTGTAATCCGTGGCCCAGTTACCTTAATTGGAATGTAGATGTTATTTAAGACACTGAAGAACCAACAACTGTAACAAGAATAAATCGCCAAATTTGGGACACTTGATCTGAGTATAACTTTAAGTGTATTAACAGGAACAACAGTGACAAACTGATGGATACTCAGGACACAGGTGAAACACAAGTTTGTGCTTCTTGCCACCAGGCGAGTGAAGAATTCCAATTTACATTTGAGGTCAGTTGGAGAGAATCTTAGAGAAAAAGTCATCATGTTGTTTGGAAATGAAGAGATGAAGAGAACCAGGGCATTGGCCACCGCCATGTGGCTTAAAATCACCTGTGTGGGCCTCTGTTGAGAACCAGTGAAGACTGGAGATACATTATGGAGAAACAGAAAGACATTGGCTACAGTCCCAACTCCAAACTGGCAAAGCAAGAGGATCTGAAGAGCCACTTCCTCAGTGGTTTTCATGGATTTATCATGAGCAGACATGGAGAGGGCTTTTTTCAGCCCCAGAGAGATGATTAGGTGGGGCACTGCTGTTCTCGGGACTCTGTTTTATTGTCCTTGCTTACCAATTGATTTGGGACAATTTCTTCTCTTGATAAGTGAGACACTATTTTATCACACTACAGGAACCTTGTCTGGAAAATGATGCATGGGTAATAAGTTAGAATAAAATTTTATACTTATTGAATTACTCCTGTCTCAAGATGAATTTTGTATTGCTACTACATCTTTATTGGTCAAGTAGGTCAAGAACACAATAACACACATTTTAGCACATCAAGGCCTTTGCATATGAATAAAGACAGGAAAGAGACTGGTATGAGTATGTGATTCCGTCATCAGAAGTCAATACAATTAGGAGGGAGGAGAGGCTGCAATGGCATGTGCTGGGAGCGAAGACTTCCTTCTGCCTGAGAGCAAATGTCAGTTAAGTAGATAGCCTGAGTTAAGGAAGACCTTATCGGCCTTCCTGCCTGGGAGGGAAAATTAGCAACTTAAGCCTAACAAATGTTTTATTGCCCTCTTGCTCATGAGAAAGTGGTTTGGGGTAAGGAATGCTTGCAAAGAACTTAACAATTACTGGATGGCCCTGGACCCTGACTCTCCTCCCTGCTTGCCTTTATAACAGCAGCTCGAACAATAAAGTTTAACCAATTGATCAGACATTCAGACCTGTGCTGCTTCTTTGTGTCTCTTGTCCCATCTTTGCCCCCCTTCCCTAGGATCTCGTCGAATGCCCGCATCCAGGGGCAGCATGTAACTTAATCAATAAAGATCACTTAATCAATAAGAAACTAAAGATTCTCATCATCAGACTCCATCATCAGAATTCAGTACATTTAGGAGGGAGGGGAGGCTGCAAATGGCATGTAACTTAATCAATAAAAAAAGAAAATACAGATGCAACATAAAAAGAATTAACTGAATTTCTTTATGTTATAGTAATGTGTTAAAAACACTGTGTGTGTTAATAACATGTAAGATTAAACATAATAATCAATACAATTGTGTCACAGAATTCAGTTGTAGAAAATTAAATTGTTGGCTTTTGAGAAAATTTTATACTACTCATCCACACACACAAAAACCCACCAAATATTTATGATAAAGTCATCTGTGTTTCAATTACATGAATGAACATAGGTTTACATATGTGTTCTCCATGTGAAAAAAAACCCACTTGCTGAGAAGTTTCATTCATTCATAGTTTTCCCGATTTTAATTTTTGTTCTAAAATGTCAGGTGCCAGAGCCTTACCTGTATCATCTCCAGCTTCCTTCCAGAATTATTAACATAATCACTATTATTCCCTTTGCGAGCTGATGCTTAGTCTGTATTTTACTTGTTTATATGTTTTCTAAAGGAATACAGGGCCTCCATCTATCAGACAAAGTTCAACATCTCACGTACAGATGTCACACTGAGTGCTGTTCTCTGATGAGTACTAGGATAAAGACATTTCTTTGAGATGAAAGCAAAAATATTAACCTATTTGAGTTAAACTTCAGACTTTAAAAAGAAATAATGTTTCACGTTGGTTTCAGAAGACCATTTTGACTGAAGAAAGAAGAAGAGAATTTTAAGCAAAAGTCTATGGTTGGAAGAATCCCACCTTCTGAGTCCCAGTCAGGATGAGGACACTCACAGGCCAAATGCCAGCTCTAGAGCACAGCTCCTGTAGAAGGATATCTTGTAGTGTGTATTCCATTGAGGAACTTCTCTCTGCCACTCTTTGCCTGAGAAAGAATGCAACAAAAGTAGGAAGGGTTTCTGTTCTCCATGCAGTGCTGTGAAGGTAACCTAACAGAGTCCAGGTTTCCAGTCTCATAAAATAGTAGAGTACCTGGACATGCTATCCTTCAGAGAGTTTATTATCGTGGCATCTGTGGCCTCAGTGCATTTGTCTGCATGGTGTCTTTGAGATATCTCGGATGAAGGAAAAATCATTCATCCCTAGAGAAAATCTCCATTTTACTTTCCGATGCTTAATAATGAAGTCCAGGAGTTTGTTAGATTTCAATGAACACCTGAGCAGAAGTTAGGAGAGGCTTTTCATGTTTCCTTTGGGAGAATCTAAGTTCTGAATTGATCTTGTAGTCAGATGTGAATTGGGGCACTCAAGGGAAGAACAAAGGACTCATTACGTGCATTTCTATGGAGTACTTTCCTCTCCACTATTTCACTCTTGAGACATGATGCTGACACCAAGTCCTTCCAGAAAACAGGCAACATGTCATTCCTACTCTGTAATGGCCCAGGAAGTTGCTTCATTCCAACGTCCTCCATGTTGTCCCTGGACACACACTTCTGACAAATCTGTTAACTGAAGTTTGCCTTTCCCACTTGAATCCTGGGGTTGTTCCAACATCCACTTGTGTTCACGTAGACTGTGACTTGTTTTCTGAAATACTCATGAGTCCTTATCAGAGGCCTAATGTACTGTGCTAGTGTCAATAGAACCTGCTTTGTAAGGAAGGAATCCTGGACACACAAGCAAAGCTATGGCTTGAGCAATCATTAGGAAATAAATAGATCCAACCACACTCATTTCTGCTCTAGGTATAATAGAAATCTAAGGACTTAGTTTTGATTTTCAGTGATGAAAAGTAAAATCTCAGATTATAAATCTAAGAATTCAATGTTCTAAATATTTATTGATATATATATATCAGCATGTTGACACACAGATCACACACACACACACACACACACACATATTGGAATATCCTTAAAAGTTAGGAATTTGTAAGAGTTATGGCATGTTGAAAAAACAGGAGAAGAACTACACTGTTATGAAGGATTAAAGAGGGATAGTCAAACATGAAGCCTTAAATTTAGGTGTGTGTAGGTGGAAAAGTAGACAAGGAAATACGGAGAGGAATATCTAATACTAAGTGTCTTTTAAAAAACTGTACAAAAAGATACTGCTATTGATATACCCTGTAATATGTTCATATGCATAGTTCAAAGAAGTTTTAATAAACCAGCACTGTATTAGATGGACAGTCCTCCAAGTAGACATGTCATGTTGAATAATGTAAACTTCTATTTCAGATTTAGGTGACTTCTTTTTCTAGCTACTTGGCAATCAACTCCCAAAGCATACACCCCAAAAGATCACAGGGTATTCTCCAATACTTGGTGGCTGCAGACACAATATACTAGGCAAAAAGAACATCAAAAAACCAAGCTAGTACTTACTTTGAAGATTTGTATGCCACTCACGTGTCCATAAGTGGTATTAAAAAAAAAGGCGGCTGAAAAAGACAAGTGGAGGGTTGGGGTGATAACTCACAGGTTAAGTGCACTGCCTGCTCTTCCAAATGTTCTGAGTTCAATTCCCAGCGAACACATGGTGGCTCATAACCATCTATAATGAGATCTGGTGCTCTCTTCTGGCTTGCAAGCGTATGTGCAGGAAGAACACTACATACACGATAAATAAATTTTAAAAAATACCACCCTCCCAATTGGAAAACTTTCTTAAAAGGTGCCTAATACAGAACTGGAGGAAAAAAGTCTTCAGCAATACCATCCATCTGTGAACCCTGCCAGGTATAGCAATTATGCGCTTGATGAGATATACCCATTCATTCAAGCTGGAAGAAGCTGAGGAGGAGGTCAACCCTATAGGAAGACTAGTAGTCTCAACCAACCTGGACTCCGAGATGGCTCAGAACCTGAGCCATCAACCCAGCAGCATAACCAGCTGATATGAGGCCCCCAACATACATACAGCAGAGAACTGCCTAGTTTTCACTCAGTGAGAGAAGATGCACCTAACCCTGGAGAGACTTGGGGTCCCAGGGAGTGGGGAGGTCTGGTGTGGTAGGGGTGGAAGGTGGAGACATTTTCTTGGAGATGGGGCAGGGGGTATGAGATGAGGAACAGTGAGAGGGAAGACCAGAAGGGGGATAAAAGACTGGACTATAAAAAAGATTAAAGAATAAAAACTATGAAAATAATGCTATGGGAGAAACCAACGACTTTCTTATTCAACCTAAGGCCCTATCCATAAGCTAGAACTCAAAAACAGCATTGTTTATATTGTCTGTGGACAGATAGGTCCTAGCATGGAACCAACTAGTAATGTTTTCCTTAATGGACAGAGAATTGAAATATTTCTTGATGACTTATTACTTCACCTGTAGATGGGTGCATTTCTCAGCCCCCATCAGAGAAGCTTCTTGTATATTAATCAACATGGGAATTCTCAACTGGTCATTGTACAGTGATATGAGTATGGCATGCTCACTCAGAACTAGAATATATATACTTCTACCACCATGACTTAATTCTTCTTCCTATTCATAGAATTTGAGATGAGCAGAATTTTAGAGCCAGAGGAAGCTGATAACATCAATTTTTTCTGGACACATGAGGGACGGAAGAGAGATACGAACCCACAGGGATTGCAGCAGAATTCACAAAGTCTATACAAGATTAAGCCCAATCATTTTTTTTAGTTCTTTGTGAAAAGAATAGTATATAGAATTTTCTGGAAAGACTAACCTCAATTGGGAAAATGCTTTCATGAAATTGTCTGTAGTCAAGTCTCTAGGGCATTTTCTTAATAATAGTTGATATGGTAGTACCTATACCAACAGGGAAGTAATCACCCTGACAAGGTGGTCTGGCTAGCATAAGAAAATAGGCTCAGCAAGTCATGGGGAACAAGGCAGTAAGCCTATCTTCTCTTTCTGCTTCAGTTGCTGAGCTCAGGTTCCTGTCCTGACTTCCTGCCTTGGTGTCCCCTGGTGATTGATGTACCCTACAAACCAAATAAATCCTTTCTTCCTTGGTTGTTTTATTTATGGTGCTTTTTGCAACAAGTGAAATGATCTGAGACACTAACAATATCCCAGCATGAAGTGATAAAGATGGGCACAAATTCCACTGTTTTAGGGGGGCATTGTAAGTGATAATTGATGATAAATATATTCAGTTTTTAAATGATTTGATCCCTGATAGGTTGGCCACACTGTGGGGAAGGCCATACTCTGAAGAAGAATGGATTGGAA